AAGTATAATGCACATAGTCTTCGACTTGCGACACTTGAGCCCAAAATTTATTTTAACACTTGTGAAGTGAGTTTTGCCCCACTGTATGACCTTTCCTGCCACAGTTGTTAAGTGAATCACTGCAGTTAAGTTAGTGACAGTTAAGTGAATCTGGTTTTCCCATTGACTTTGCCCGTCAGGTCACATAAAGGGATCACTGGAACACTTGGAACCATTGTAAATATGAGTCAGTTGCCAAAACTATCTGAATTTTGGTCATGATGCTGCAACGGTTGTGTGTAAAACAATCATAAGTCATTTTTTTCAGTGCTGTTATAACTTTGAATGGTCATTAAATGAACTGTTGTAAGTCGAGGACTACTCGTATCTGATTTCACTGAACACCAAGACTTTATCATTTATTTTGCCGCTAGTCATTCACATCGTGGACAGAAAGAGAGAGAGAGAGAGAGAGGGAGGAAAGGAGGGAGGGAGGGAGAGAGAGAGAGAGGAAAGGAAAGGGAAGGAAAGGAAAGAAAGAAGGAAAGAAAGAACTTGGCTGTTTTCACGTATTTCAGATGCATCTAACTTTCCTATAGATCCTTCTGTTAACTCAATTTTCTGGATTCTGGATTTCCATGACCCACACAAACATAATGGATTTCCTACAATACGCCAAGCCAAAAGGCACATTACTCACTTCTTTCTTAAGTGTGTCATAATTGGCCAGCCACTTTCTCACCTGAGGCTGAAGACATAGAAAACAGATTAAAATTCAGCCTTCCAGTGCATGTTGATTAGGCAACTGGACACTTCTTAACCTGAAAATCCTAGGACTCTGTTCATTTTTATACAGCTATTGTGTGTGTGTGTGTGTGTGTGTGTGTGTATAGATAGGTAGATAGGATTTGTACCTCACATGCTGTCTGCCCTGATTCACTGCATATCCAAACTTGGCAACTTTTAAGACTTGGGGACTTCAACTCCCAGAATTCCTCAGCCAGCCATGTCCAATTAAAATGCTGCCTGAGGAATTCTGGGAGTTGAAGTCCCCAGGTTTTAAAAGTTGCCAAGGTTGGGGACTCTTGGGATATAACAATCCTCCCTTTGGTCTGGCTGCAGGGTCCAACATCACAGTGTAGAACACATCGTGACCGGCTGTAAGCTGAAGACCCATTTTCTGATTCCTTTCAGATAAACAATGCTGCACTTCTACGGTTAGATGGTACGAATAAAGAATATTTGTAGCTCAGGGTTGACATGAAGGGTCCTTGGTGCTCTCTGAGCTTGCTTGTTTTTTTTTGCAGACGTTTCATGACCCAACTAGGTAACATCATCAGTGCTCACCAACACCGATAGCGATCACTAGCACTGATAATGTTACCTAGTTGGGTCATGAAATGTCTGCAAGGAAACAAGCAAGCTCAGACAGCATCAAGGACTCCTCATGGTTAGATGGCCTAGAGTAGACATTTCTATTTGAATATAGCTCTTTTTAATATTCTTATTTTAAAGTAAAGCTTCCCCCCTCACACATCTACTTGCATTTTTACATGATTTTGAACTGCTAGGTTGGCAGAAGCTGGGACAAGTAAAGGGAGCTCACTCCGTTACACGGCCCTAGGGATTCGAACAGCCGAACTGCCGACCTTTCTGACTGACAAGCTCAGCATCTTAGCCACTGAGCCACTGCGTCTTATTTCACTGTGTCTTAATTTAGGTGAAATGTTAATATACACTGCAAGTCCATGTATGTTATGCCATACACTAAATATTTTTCAGGCTCAAAGTACACACACAAAAAACCCCCTACCCTGCTAATGAATATTCAAATGAAGCACAGTGGTGTTCCCAAATTGAAGGAGGCACAACTTGGGAGTTATTCAGTCCAGATAATTTAAGTTTATTCCAATTCCCCTTACTGGCTGTTTAATGATGGAGATGGAAGTCCAGCCTCTGGAGAACACTTCCATGGAGTCGAAAAAACAAACAAACCCAAGGCGTTTCTAGCACATAGAAAACTGCTGGGAACGGACGCATTCAGCAATTTTCCAATCCAAAATGTTGGAAGGAGAAATGATTTAAAATTGCACTGAAAGAAACACAATTCCTTGGGAAGGAATCTCATTCTTCTCCAACAGGAAACCTATAGAGGAAACGTAACAGGAGAATAGCAGTGACTTCTACCAATGGACTCAAATGAATGGATTGTTAATGCCTTCATTTAAAAAAAAATGGGGGTTTAGAACAGCAGCAAATGGTTAAATGGTCAACACTTTTCAACACCCTTTGTGGCATTGCACATAGGAAGGGGCATGATCAAGAGGTAGTATTCAGCAGGTTCTGACCAGTTCTAGAGAACTGGTAGCAGAAGTTTTGAATAGTTCAGAGAACCGGCAAATACCACCTCTGACTGGCCCCGCCCCCATCTATTCTCTGCCTCCCGAGTCCCAGCTGACCGGCTGGGTCTTCTTTGGTTGCCCTGCACAGGAGAACGGAGCTGCAAAGCAGGTTAGTGGGGTGGGGAGGGAATGAGAATTTTGCATGTATCCTTCCCCTGCCACACCCACCAAGTCACGCCCACAGAACCGATAGTAAAAAAAAAAATGAATCCCACCACTGGGCATGATTAATAGACCCTGGTTGGTTGGGCCAGGAAAAAAAAATCATTTTAGGCTAACTGTTCTGAAAATGTAAGATCTAGACTGGTTAGGGTGCTTCTAGCCCTCTCTAGAGAAGATGCTATCCGATAAAGACTATTTGTACATGAAGAGTGAACAATGCTGATGTCTACAAGGACACGAGTTGCAATTCCAGGTAGTCCTTGGCTTACAAGAGTTCATTTAGTGACCGTTCAAAGTTACAATAGCACTGAAAAAAGTGACTTACGACTGTTTTTACATTACAGCCTTTGTAACATGATCCCGTGGTCAAAATTCAGACATTTGGCAACTGGTCCATATTTCCCCGAGTTCCCAAGGTCATGTGTTCACCTCTTGCAACTTTCTAAACAGTCAATGGGGAAACCAGCTTCACTTAACAACTTAAGTTACTAACTTAACTGCAGTGATTCACTTAATAACAGTGGGAACAGAGGTCGTAAAATGGAGCAAAACTCATTTAACAGATGTTTCACTTAACAGAAATGGGGGGGTTTGGTCAATTGTGGTCGTAAGCCGAGGACTATTTGAAGCAGTATATAAAAC